TTAATCATTTAATTGTATACAAATCCTTCACTTACGAAACCTCCAAAACATCTGAAAAGGAGTTAAAGTAAACCTTGTAGAAAAGTATATAGAAGAGGACTTGACGTACGCGATGACCCATATATTACTTTGTGGAGAAATAAAGCTTTGTATACATGGACCATGATTACTGATGTAATATCTGGTAACCAACTATCAAAACTAGGTTTTTGTGTTTAACACATCTAAACTCCATATCCACCGATCAAATTTTCTTCAACAAACATAGATAGCTAGGATGTGTGTATACGTGTGTGTATGTATGTATATACTATATATGGAGAGAGAGAGAGAGAGAGAGAGAGAGAGAGAGAGAGAGATGGTACCTGTTGGCATGCATATTGTCTTGATTTCTTCCTTTGTTTAATTAGATGAGGATCTTCAAGAGACAAGTGTTTGAATTTGTTTGCTTGTTCTACAAATTTGGCACTTACAGATGAAGGAAACACATAAACTTTTTGTTGAGTCGAAGATGAAGGAAAGGGAAAAGGAGAAAAAAACATGTAGAATGGGATCCAATAGTTATGGATGTGGGTGTTAGGGTGTAGATGGGGGTGGGGTTAGCGGATCCGGTATTTAATTGGGTCTTTTCTTTTTATAGAGCTATTTCCTAACTTTAGGTATAATATGCTTTTAAATCATGTACTATGTGGAATACAACTTGTACATTTCTTGGGGGGTTCCCAGGTTGGTCTTGGAAAAAGAATTTGGGCATTAATTAGAACCTGATTATGTAATGCAGGCCACATGGTCTCTTCACACAATGATAATGGCAAAACATAATTTTGTTTTATGTATTTATGTAGTTTTAAATTTATTGTGATATTTGGTAAATTGTATTGGTTTCTATTTTATGGACGGTTTTCGACGTTTCGTGGTCATCATTTAAATACTAAGGTTTCCCATTTGTGTGTTTACATTTTAGCAATCGACATTCAAAACGATAATTAATCAAAAAAATTGAATAATAAGTAACATTCAATTAGGTTGTCAATTCAAAACGATCTGTGACGCGACATGATTTCGATACAAAAATAACAGGTTTGAGTTGAGTTTTTATTACTTGCAACACGTTAATCCGCAACACGCCCACCCATTTATTATACAGATTATGTTCGTGTTTACAAATTATTTTGCAGGTTGTCCTAAGAACCTATTTATTTTATTAGATTAAAAAAATAAAAAAAATGTATTTTTTTTTATATAAAGGAGATAATAATGACTAATAGGTAAATATGCGATATTTAGATATTTTTTCTTGTGGCCTATAAACGTGATATTGACCCACAAACTTGATTTTGACTCGCGAACCCGTATAATTAAACGGGTTAAGCGAATTTGTCTGTTTATGGTAATCCAGATTAGGGTCGAACAAAACAACAAAAATATTAATGTAGGTTGTGTTCGGGTTGAGCTTTTTTCACCTGGCAACTCGAATACGACACGGTTGTCACTCCTACGTTTAAAACTACAATGTATTATTATTTTTCAACTAATATTATTGTAAGAAAGCTTTTAAAATTTTATAAAATCAGTTTTATTATGTTAAAAATAATGATGGTATAGAAAATCATTCGTTGATAATCGTTTTAGAACAAGGTTTTTTCGGGTATGTGAAATGAGCATGAAAACACTGAATTATTGAAAGAGAAAATCGAACAAACAAACAATGTCTTGTGAGGACCATTACACTTAAAATCCATCTGTGGGCTCATCAAATGGGTTTTTTCATGATGAAATTTTACGTGAATCTGGGTTTATTCATGGGTACGAAACAAAACCGTGTCCTAAGAGATTTTATTTTAACAATGGAATATATTTTTTTCTGAAATTCAAACGACAATTACAATTAATATCCATCTGTGGGCTCATCATATGGGTTTTTCATGATGAAACGTTACGTGAATCTGGGTTTATTCATGGGAACGAAACAAAACCGTGTTTTAAGAGATTTTATTTAACAATGGAATATATTTTTTTTCAGAAATTCAAACGACAATGGGAATAATATAATTACAAAAAAATAAACAATTGTTTCTCATGGAATTATATCAACAATACATTTGTTCACTAAATTATTTGTTCACATGGGATTCTCCAGCGAGGACGGTAAGAGTCTAAATTTGTCGTCAAATTATAATCCAACCGCAACCGCACGGCATCTGCTTCACCATTTTTGTATAACACCCCCTACCACCAAATACATATTTATATAAAATAAATTATAAATTATATTAAATTATATTTTTTTGTAAATTATATTAAATCGAACATATGGTATAGAGTTAGAGAATCGGATAATCGTATGAAGGAAGTGGTAAAGAAGAGTGATCTCGATGATTCATATATTCTTGTTTTACATAACTCTTCAGTTTTCATGCATTACCCTTTCAAAGTTACATGAACCATCCTTGTGTTTTGGGATAATTTCTAGGTTTCGTCCAATCAAAAATTTTCATTCGTTCAATTAATTTGGTTTGGTTTTGGTCCGTTTTAGTCACGGTCAAGATAAAATGACTATTTTTGTTATTACTTGTATTTTTAATATTTTGTAATTGTTATTATTATTTATAATATTATTCAGCCTACTAAATGATATGGACCCATTCCCATCTTATCCCCTCCCTTCACTTATTTGTCCTCCTCGATTAGACTACCACACTCTCACTCCATCGTCTTCATCACCTTCATATATCCTATTGACTATCACCATCATTGGCAATGCCTTTTCCTCCCATTCATTATCTTCCTACCACCTAACCAAATATTTCACCATCACTATTTCATCTCCTTCAGTTTTGGGTTTAGGTTTTTCTAGCTCTTCAAATGAATTCATCTCCATCGCCTTTCTTTCTCATGTTGGTGCCTTCTTCATTCCCACCTAAGAAAACACATATGAGACAAATAGTATTTTGATGTTGAAGTTAGTACTAAAGACCAAAAGGGCATTTGTAACCCATGGCATGAATGAAATTGGAACTCTCATAAATATGAAAAGACATCTTGATGCATTTATGAACATGATGGTGGTATAAACCATGAAATTGATGCAACTCATCTTCATACGGTTACATATTGAAATAGGTGAGGGCTAAAATCGTTTTGGAGTGTAAAATCATATGATATAAAACCATAGAAAGTCGTAAAGGGTGTAAATAAAGTGGGTAATGACTAAAAGCGATCCAGATCACATTGTAGGGTTTGATTAATAAAGTGTTGATGTGTCTTAAATTATACATATTCTTAAGGACATTTCAAATACTTTTATGAATGTTTTAGTGGTTAACATAGGAAAAATGGTATTTAATTACTTTATATTTATATTTGCAACTAAAAACGGTGCATTGATGAAATAGAAGTTGAAAACCACTACAAGAAAAAGACCCTTTTACGACGCGCAAACCATGACACTCAGTGATTTATGTTACGCAAAAAAGAGTGACATTAAGAAAGTGTCATCTCTTCAAAAAATTTAAGGATTTAGGTCACGCATTATTGTGTGCCCTTAAATTAGTGTCTCATGTAAAAATATTAAAAATACGGAGGGCACTTGTGTGTCCTCTGTGAATGTCGTTTTATATATTTTTTAAGAAACGCGCATCTCCGAGGGAAAATGAAATCCCCAAATTTTTTAAACCCCCGCCTTCTTCTCCCTCATCTCCACCCCTCATCCACGTCCACTACCTCCGATCCTCATTGCCTCTTCTAGCCTCAAATTGTGGCGATGCACCTTCCTTCTCGAAGAATGCTTCATTTACCACCATCATCGGATTATGTGAGCCTAAGGAATTGATGTAGACGAAGAAAATTATGGATCAGTCGCTTCATATCATGTTTAAGGTTAAGGGTTTGAGATTTCTTCCAAATCGACCCTCACACTAAATGGTTCGATCTCCTCTCTTTTCACCTTGTTCCCTCTACTGATGCCTCTACCTTCTACCATCGATGTTGATCTTTGAATTAGCAACAAGAAGCCTTAGGGCCTCCGCCTTCACCCACCTCCAGCTTCTACCATCGATGTTGATCTTTGAATTACCTTGTTCCCTCTACTGATGCCTCCACCTTCTACCATCGATGTTGATCTTTGAATTAGCAATAAGAAGCCGTAGGGCCTCCGCCTTCACCCACCTCCAGCGCCTCCAACAAATAGCCCTAGGGCCTCTGCCTTCACCTACGTTCTCACAGTCGATCGTGAATCGGTTTTCAAGTTCTTCCAAGATTCAATCAATACGGAGGTGGAGGTAGGTTCTAATTTCGTATCAAGAGACTTCACTTTCAGGCGGAACAAAAACCTAAGGATCAATTCGATTAATCAGTAGCAAAAGTTAGACGTAATCTCAAAACTTGGCATGGAAAGAGTCTTGAAATCCACTTCAGGTAAGTTATTCAACATGGATTTTCTATCTCTTGCTTCTTCTCTCAAATTAATAGCAGCCGACAAAAGAACTTTGAGAATGATATCTGGTGCTTTCTTGATTCTCACCTAAATTGTGTTTTCTTGCAAGGTTCGTTTATTAAATTGCTACCCTCATCGACACACAATTAAATTAGTATCGGCCAAATATGCTACAATAGAGGATGGTTTCGTGGATTCTTTCACCTTTACACCAACGATGGTGGAGCTAGAGAGAGAGTTTATGGTGTACAATTAAAGCTATTCAAATATGTTATTTGCCAGCCTCATCCAGGTTCCAAAACCAACTTATTCTTCAATAATCTCTACTCATATCCAATGCCTTCCTTATTGTTATCTCACTCTTTAATTTTCTATTGCAGTTTACTCATGATCTTGAGCAACTGGTCATATGGGACCTTACCAAAGAGAGATGCTATATGTTTTTTTGTGCAATTAGTCTCTCTCTCTCTCTCTCTACATATTTTATTTTATTTAATTCCTTTGAAGTGAAAAAAGATGAGTAATTAATATATCATAGGTGAAAAAGTTTCGAAATGATAGCCAAATGAGGTTGATAGCTGCAGAGGTTGGTGGGTCTGTTGAAGCTAATCCAGTAAATGCACAGGTTGAGCTTTTTGATGCTTTATTAGATGGATGCAGAGAAGTAGTTAAAGGAGGAACTATGGACCCTAAGGTTAACTTACTTTCTTAAATTGCTCTATTCTATTCCATTAGAGTTTCTTATCAATTACATGAATAGAAATGGGATTGTGGTTAACTTAAAAAATGATTTGTTTTGATGTTTAATCAAATCAAGGGCCATTGTTGGATTTTTTTGGTGTTCCTGTGAAGGCTAATGATGTATTAAGTCGAGTGGAAGAACTTCAACTCCTTGCAAAACGAGTAAACTGCTATAATGATCCAATCTCACAGTTTCAGGCTTTGATGTACCTCAAACCTGCAATTTGGTCTAAAGGTTGTGGCTGGAATCAGAGTAGGCTTTTTCTCACTACATAAATAAATGCAAAGGAAATCGGTAGCTATTCATCAGCTATATCACTACAAGGGTTCATCAGCTATATCACTACAAGGGACAACTGGATCCATTGAAGGGTAATGCCCTTAATAAGCATGTAAGAGAAACTGCTTAAGAAGCTTTATCAGCTATATTTGCTGGAGAAGACAACAGTAAACCACCACCACAAGAAGGACTTACACAACGTATATAAGGTTTTGGAAACACAAACTTTGACGTTCCATCTGATGATACGAAGTCGTTTCTTAGTCATATGGTTGGCATTGGAAGTCCAACAATCAAGCAAGAGTTAAATAGCTTATCACAAGCTCAAACTCATAATAAAAATGACACAGGAACTTACAGGGGCCCTAATCTGAGAAGATCATTGACTAATGAATCGAGTTACTCTGATAGCAAAGAACTTTCTAGTCAGGTTGCACTTTCTTCTAGGTCATCAACAAGTGCATTTGGATCTTGGGGTCAAGATCTAAAAACAAGTCAAATAGATACTAAAAATGGGAATGCAAGCTCAAGTTATTCAAATGAAAAGAGTCGTGGAGAGAGGTTATTAGAGACCATTGTAACATCTGGTGGTGTTCGTCTTCAACCTACTCGTGATGTCATTCAGGTGTTCATAATGGAGGCCTCAAAATTGAATGCAGTAGCTTTAAGTCATACTCTAGAAGCCAAACTCCAATCTCATATGTGGCAGTTATTTCATTGGTGTGTTTTTTATCCTATACAAGATTTAGTTTCCTATGTTTGTGACATTGAAATCCTTTCATATCTTGCTTCATTGTTCTTTTAGGTCTGTGTGAAAGCCATATGTGTGCTTGAGGCGATATTGAGGAAGAAAAATGATGAACCTTTTTCCATTGTCACCTCTTACTTTACTAAAAATATAGATGTTGTGGTAAAATGCTCCAAGTCTCCTCAAGCCTTTTTAAGGGAAAAGGCAAATAAGGTATGCAATGAGTGGTTTAGTTTACAAGTTTTTTCATGTATCAAACTCATGCAGCTTTCTTATTTGAAATTGTGGGCGAATTTAAAGTAAAAAAAAAACAAACAAACAAAAAGTAAACATTGTCTTTTGTGGATTGTTATGAACTGAATTATTAATCCCACAAGTGGTAGCAAAACATGATGCATTTAGCCATTTAGTGCACAAAACAGCTTTATATTTCATGTTAATTGATTGTTTTTGTTATATTTAAATCCTTGTTACTTGGAAATTCAGGTTTTAAGCCTTCTTAATAGAGAACAAAGTTGTAGCAGGATAATCCATCAAGACAAATGGAATGGAGTCTGTACACATGAAGTTGGTCGTCTAGAAAAGTTTAGTTCGTTTTCTTTCTTTTCTTATTACATCCAAAGGACATTGATTAATCGTGCATAGTTGGTAAGGATAGACATTGAGAATTGCAAAAGAAGGATTTTTTTCCTCTCACATATACTTCTACTGTCAGGCTTTTCACTGGGCTTGTCACCCTTTACAATAAAACCTTGAGATTCGGGGTAAAATATCTTACTTTCCTCTCACATATACTTATACTTTCTTCATTATTTACTTGTTTGTTGCCAATTTGTATGCATATTCTTTCATTAAATGGGGTGAACTTCAACTTTATTCTTATCCGACATAAATTAATAGTCATTTTATTACATTATTTTCAGGGGGTAGAGTTGCAACTGAAAAATGTTCAAGTTGTTGGTGTTTATGGGTGGAGTAGTGAATTTGTTATTATTTGCAATGTGAGACCATGCATGTGCTAATCAAGAGGTACCTGATCTTTGTCATTCAAAAGTTGTTTGTTGAAATTTATATTGGGGTGCAGGTGACTTTATCTTGAAATTTACACTCAAAACTATTTTTTTCCTTATTTTTCTTGTAAGTTTAGCCTTATTCTTTTCTTCAGTTAAGTGTTGTCTGGAGAGTGTTGTATGAACAACAATAAATCAACATTTTTTTCCTTCTTTTTCTTGTATGAACAATATATAGTTGTAGTTTTACTTAATTAGTTGCTTATTTTGTTTATTAGTTGCTTATTTCTAGCTTATTACAGTCAATAATTGGTTTCTTGTTATGCTTAAATCTTAACAGCTATCATGGCAACTTTCAACAGTAGTTTTGGACCGGCACCTTCTTGCAGAAGATATCATGTACATGTTCTTGTGCTACTATTGTGGATTCGGGAACATCCTTGCTTACTGGTCCAACTGTATGCATTTCATGTGAAGCTTCTGTTATAATTATTAATCTTAAGGATTTCAAGTTTTTCATATTTCTTGTATCTAATGATTTTGTAAATTTCCGTTACAACTTTTACTGATTTGTTTTATATTTCCATTGAATGATTATTTGTATGATATTAAATTTTATGCAATGGATTGTATTTTTGTATATGATATTTTATTTATTATGAGACATTAAATGAAAATTTAATTTGAAAATTAGTAAAAATAATATTTTTTTAAAAAAACATATAAAATTACGACACGCAAAAATGTGTGTCATCTACATTTATGACATGACCTTTCTTGACAGGTGCTTTAATGATACGCAATGTGAGTCGTAAATGTGCGTCATAATGTTACGACACGCAAATGTGTGTCGTCTTCCTTTATGGCAGGGCCTTCCTTGATACACATTGAGTGTCGAAAATGCGCGTCGTAACTGCGCGACGTAAATCCGCGTCGTCTATAGACGACGCACAAAAGCGTGTCGTCTCTCGTTATGACAGGGCCTTCATTGACAAGCATTTGTGCGTCGTCTGAGAGTTTTACGACACGCATTGCGCGTCGTAAAAGGATGTTTTTCTAGTAGTGAATGGCAAAGTTGAGCATATTTTCATGAAGTATCAACCAGGAAAAATAGTTGAAAATTAGCAAGGAAAGAAATCTGAAGATATTGAAAAAAAATATATCAAATTCAAGTAATTGTGTTACGAATTTAGGTCAGTTAGAATTGCTCTAAATAGAACCTTAATTTCTACCAAAAGCATACAACGATAGAGAAGAGCGGAAACCTAGAAGATCCAGAGCACAGTAGGTGCAAAAGAAGGTGTAATTGATCTAACGGGAGTCATTTCGGTTTGCTTTACATTAGGATTAGTATTCCTTAGATTTCTCTTGTTCATTTTGATTTAATTATGGGATAAGTTCCAAATACTTTTTGAGAATGTAGATGAACTTATTTGATTATGTGTTGATTCATTGAAAGCATTTAGAAGTTATTTAATCTATTATGTTTGCTTGATTAAAGATCCATGAATATCAATATTGATGTTTTGTTGTATGTTGATATACTATGGATAGTCTAATACAAATCCAGTTTTAAATTTATAAAACCTAACAAACCAAACTAACTATTAGCACCAACCAATATACTTGAGCATGAATAATATATATAAGGGTGTCAAACTCAAAAGGAATCGAAGTGTGCCAAATAAAATAAATATGGAACTTAAAATGTAAATATGAATAAAATAGACAATATAACTTTAAAATAAAGTATAAGTAAATTACTTTTGATTGATAGTAATTTTGATTATGTTTCGAATCACTTTATGATTATGATTACTTCATGCAAAGTGCAATGAAGTCTTGAGAGAAATTCCGTGATACCTAAATTGATTAGATTAGATGGTCAAATCACTAATCGTATAATTCTAAGTTGTACCAGCAAGGATAACTCTCCAAGACCCATTCTGTTCATTCATATTATGTAATAATGACTCAATTGGTTTGATCAGTCCCATTGGTCTTGGCGACTTCTCAAAATTTCCAAGTTACTAGATCAATAATGAATATTAACTCAATTTTATTATGTTTAACCTATGGAGACGGTCTACCTCTAATCGTACTGCCTACCTCATTAATGGAGTTTTAGGCCACTAATGTTAGAAAAATAACATGATACAAGATATATAATATGAACCTAATCTAAGATCATGCACTCATGTAACACCCTAAACCATGTCTAGCTTGAAACCCTCAAAGATTTTACATTTTTTACATAATTGATTCTTTAAGTATGTTGGGCATACTCATGTGTATGCTTAGCGTACTATGTATGGATGGTGGCGGAGGAGTTGGACGTATGTTGGGCGTACGTGTCGAGGGTACAAACCCTAATTTGCGGACTTGTGACCTATTTAAATGCCCTTTACTCACTTGAGCCTCACCCTCATCAGCTCTCTTCACCTTCAAACGTTCCTGGAAGCCCTAATATCCTTTGTGAGTGCATTTTGGGCCTTAAGAGTGAAACTGTGGTCCTTTTAGTGTTCATCCAAGAAGAAGGAAGTGGTTAAGGAAGCTTGGAGTGTCATTTGGCTTCAAGAATCTGCATATAGACGACCTTGAGGAGTTCCTGGAGGTAAAAAGCTTGGATCTTTCCACTTAAATCTATAGATCTAGCTAGGGTTTTCTAATTTTGTCCCTTTGGTTGATTCTAGACCTCTATTTGTGAGTTAAGCAATCCTAGAAGATGGGAATGATAGATCTGAGGTCCCTTGGTCATTTAGAAACATAAAAATGGAGTCTTGGTGGGATTTTTGACCTCATGCATGGGTTAAGAACCTTTAAAAGGTGTTAATGGTGGTGTTGGGTGCATATATGGCATGCAAAGGCATAAAGTTGCCAACTTTATGCCTTATGACGTCTTAGCAAGCTCAGATCTGACTTTTGGATGTAAAGAAATCAAGTATTAAGCACTTAATGGATAAAGTGCTTAATATGGCAGTATGTTGGGCGTAACCCAATGTATGTTGCGCGTAAGTCCAACCCCAGTACATTGTGCGTACCATGATGGTACGCTGAGCGTACGCAACTCAGATGGGTCAGATCTGTTTTGGGCTTTTGAATTATTGGGCCCCATTTAGTTATTGGGCTTGGTTGCATTCTGAGAATTATGAGCCATTTTATCTGTTATGGCTCATGGATATATTGATTGGGCCTTATAGGGCCAAATAGGCCTATTAATGATTGTGGACATGGACTTTGGGCCAATTAGCAAGGAATGGAAGAATTATGGGGTTTGGGGTTTCCCTTTGATTAATTAAAGTGCTAACATTGGTTAATATTATTATTCAGTACGGGAGGTTACAAATTGTTAGGAGAGCAGCTTCACATTCGGTAGACAAGGTGAGTCTTGTCACCATACCCATGGGTCTAAGGCACCAAGGCTGACCCATTATGTGTTTATGGTATATGTGTTAATCATTATGTTAATTGATATGTTATGTGATTGTGTGTCATTGCATGGAAGACCCCGGGGGAGCCCGTGGCATTGGATATAAGACCATGTGGGGTAGCCCATGGAATTCCTAGGTAAAGACCATGTGGGGTAGCCCATGGCATTGGATGTAAGACCATGTGGGGTAGCCCATAGCATTCCTAGGTAAAGACCATGTGGGGTAGTGATAATTTGATATTGATTTCTTTGAATTCACCACCCTTTTTAATTTTTGGTATCATCAACTTTTTGAATCTTCAGAATTTTGATCTTTTGATCTTCACTTTGATTGCTCCAAAATTCTTACAACTTTATTTGTAATTCGCTCTTTTATTTCACATGTAACTCACTTTTTTCACTCAAAACCTACATGCTTAAGCAAGGGCACTTGACTTCAACCTTTATTGGTTAACTTATTAGCTTTCCTCGATACATTTCAAGTACACAATGCTAAACATATTGTGTCCCTCAAACTAAGCGAGGTTGTGTTTTATCCCATGATTTCACTAGAATAAAGGAGGCCACAAATGCATTATAACGTGTAGAGGCTCAACTAAACATTTGGGTCTTCATAAAATCATCAAACATAATACTAGCATGATTCCTAATTTTTGTTACCAATATTTTTTAACTTAGCCCTAGCAATTTTAATGCAAAATTTCAAATTTTAACTTAAATTTCAACTAATGTAACCAACCCCCTACCCCATACTTAATTCATTAAATGTCCCTAATGCATGTTATGCATGATAAAGAAAATAAAAGTAAAGAGAGAATTGGAACAAAATCCCCTGGGATAGTAGTGACGAGTGTGACCTTCTTCGTAAAATCATGGGGAGTACTGAAGTGGTACTCAAGACTAAAGAGAGAATCCAGCAGGTTCATAGCAAGATTCAGACTGCTTAGAGTCGGCAGAAGAGCTATGTCAACAAGCGACGGTCGGACCTGGAGTTCCAGGTTGGGGATATGGTACTCTTGAAGGTGTCGCCATGGAAGGGCGTCGTTCGATTCAGGAAGCGGGGCAAGCTGGGCCCCACGTATATTGGACCCTTTAGGGTTATGGCTCGGGTGGGCAAGATGGCATATAGGTTGGATCTGCCATCCGAACTCAGTTAGATTCATAGCACCTTTCATGTCTCCCAGTTACGGAAATGCCTGGTAGACGATTCAGTGGTGGTACCTTTGGAGGATATTCAGGTTGATAACAGTGTGAACTACATCGAGAGGCCAGTGGAAATCCTTGGCAGGAAGTCAAAGGATCTGAGGAAAAAGAGGATGGAACTGGTAAAGGTGCAGTGGCAGCACCGCAAGGGCTCGAAATGGACCTGTGAACCGGAGGACAATATGAGGGATCATTACCCCGATATTTTTTAGGATCGAGCGGCAGACTTCAAAGACGAAGTCTAAGATAAGTGGGGAGATTTGTAACACCTGATTCCTGGTATGTCCTATTATTCAAGTATTTTGTGTTTTTCTCTGGGACTCGACAAGTTAGAGGCCCAACTCGTCGAGTAGAGTCGTGACCTGCGGACAGTTTAAGTGACCTACTCGACGAGTCGGGGGACTGACTTAGCGAGTAGGTGTTGGTTGAGTGAAACCCTAAATTTGATGGTTTGCACCCTATTTATACACCTTATCTCAACCTCCATTGTCCCTTATGCTCCCAGAATACATCATATCGAAATCCTAGCCGTTCTTATTGTGTTTTTTAGCCTTGTGGTGCTACCTCTTGTGTTTGAAGCTTGGAAAGGAGAAGGAGATTTGTGAGGCCAAGGGGAAACAAGAAGATCAATATTTTGGAGCTAATTTTCAGCTTATTGGAGGTATGAAGCTGAACCTTTGTCTATAGATCTTGATTTTGGGATTTTTTTTCCTACATCTTTCTAAGCCCTAGAGAGGTGGTATTCGAGTTTTAGTGTTGGAAGTCAGTATATGTTTTAGATCCAGGTCTATTGGGGTGTTTTATGACACAAAGGTGCCCATTTTGCTGCCATGAACACCCAT